GAATGCGGCTTCCTGCGGAGGTGGGCGGGGGGAAATGGAGACCCCCACTCCGGCTTCTGTCCCAGGGGATCCAAGGGAAACAAAACCCTTGGTTCCGGACTTTCCAGTGTTCCCAGTCCATAGGGATGCCGGCAGTGACTGGACGGGATGAGGTCGAGGGACAGGGTCTGTGCAGGGCAGTTGGGAGCCCACAGAAGGTGGGCACTGCGGTTTCTTGTTCAGGTAAAGTTCTTTCCAGATCTGCATGTCCACTTCATTTCCAGCATTGTCAATTTGAGCAGGACCCCTAATTTGGATCCAGTGTGCAGCGCCTTGCACTCCCTCCTCACGAGGTGATTCCCCTCAGAGTGGGGGACAGTGGGGCCTCCCCATCCCACTACGTGTTAACAGAGTCACCCTCCCGTGATGTTCTGGAGTTTGGGAAGGAACTATTCAGACTTAAACACAAGGAACAGAGAAGGATGAGCGAGCAGTTGAAGAAACTGGAACTGTGAAGAGCCAGATGTCTTTTCCTCGCTTTGGGGAGCCTGGATTATGGTAGATCAAGGAAGTCCTGCAGCAGCCCAGGGTCAGCACAGCAAAGTGAGAAATGTCATTATCCATAGGGGCCCTAGCTTTTGTCTATCGATATAAAAGACTTTGTAACTGGCAATGCCCATAGGTATATATGCGAAGGAAGGTAGAGTTATCATTCACAGGGGCCTTCACAAGCCCAAACAATGTGTACACCAGTGTTAAGTCCTGCACAGATCATAGTAGCCTCTGCCTAGTCCATTTGTACCTGATAGTCCATCCACAGACTCCCAAGGGTGGTGCCACTCCAAGGGTGATGACTCCATAATCCCGTCCGCAGGATTACAAAGAAACTCAAGAGAAGCTCCCCCAGGACCCACCATTCCTCACCTCCCTTTGCCTCAGAGGCACAAGACACCAGGTCATTGAACCACAAACTCCTCCAAGAAGTTTGTAGGTAGCCTCAGTTTCAGCATCCCTCTTCTACCCTAGGAGAGCCTCAAATCAACCCCCACAGGATATGCCCTTGCTAAAAGATGAGAATCCAAATCCTTGTGAGCCTTATTTGACTGCAACAGACAGGGAAGATCCCATCAGCAACCTTCATTACCATAAATGCTTCAAGTACAGAGATAAGGATGGATCCTGGAGTTCAGTGCTTCTGTTCAGTGCTTTTTTTTTTTTTTTTTTCCCTGTGCATCAGTTGACCATCTGAACACCTGAGCAGAAAGAGGGGATGTAGACTAGCAATCCATGTTCAATATTCACCTCATAAAAGCTTTTGAGGAAAAAATTTGCCTGTGAAATACAAATGCCTCCCAAATTGCTGAGAAGTCCAACTGGGTGGCCTCATAGGGGTCCGTTATGTGATTTACCAGGGGTATATAGCCTACAAGCAACATAACAGCTCACCCAGTTGGCAATTACATGAGCAATGCCCCATGTATCTTCTCTCTGGTGGTGCAGAAAAATTGCTTATGGCCAGACTGCTTTGTGGATGTGAAGCTGAGCGTAAAGTAATTGGATTGTGTCCTTAGTGGATGCAACAAACCTCAGAAATAATGTTTTCTGATGAGCACAAGCATTACAAGAATTGACTTCTCCCAATTAGATACTTAACATGTCTGGCTAGCTTTTTGGTTAGTTCGCACTGTGTGACTGACATACATCATCTCCTTGTTTCCATGGGCATAGGTTTGCCCTTCTCCATTCTTCCTTTCTAGGACTGGAGAAAAAGGAATGCACTCCTTACTTGGTGCAGCAAAATTCAGAGGAAACATCTTTGCTGCAGAGCTTTGTCCAGGGAGCTCAGGCTCCTTGGTGTCTGGTTGAGTCCCCCTGCTTTACCAGTGCCAGCAAAGTGGGTGGACTAAGCCAACACTCAGATTCAGTTATGTCATGTTTTCCACGGAAAGAAAATAAATATTCAGGTCTATTAAAAAGAGAGAGAGAGAGAGAGAGAGAAACTACAAATGAGTCAAGATGTTTCATTTCAACATCTTTAAATGGTATGTTTGATTATTCAATTCCATATGGTGTTTGACTACTAAAGTGAAATCAATGCCGTGCAAAATGACGCTAACAGAAAAGCTCACAAACTGAATATGAAGGTTACAGGGAATATTTGAGTGGATACCCAAAATGAACCTATCACCTTATTTCTTTTTCCCAATTTTCCTTTTTGCCACCTTATCTCTCAGCCTGTTGCAAGTGCAGCAAGTTGGTGCACTGTGGGCAGGACCTGGTTGCTAGCAGGATGATTACAGTCTTTAATCAATATGGTAGCTGAGATAGATGAATGAGACACTTGCTACGGGCAGTTTGTGGGCTGCAGTGCTGGACCTTCCAGCTGTTTAACTCATTGAACACAAATCCATCACGTGTTCCTCAGAGCCGGCAGTTCTGGGTGTCTGTCAAAGCATCCCAACTCAAGCATTTTCTCTCTTCAAGGGGACTGATTTGCTCATTGCTCTTCCACCATATACAGACTATTAAACAAGCTCCTAATTTCCCAACTAAATGGAAGAAAAGGTTTCTCCTGTTTAAGAAGTGACCATTCTCCCTGGGAGTCAAAACTGTGAACAGATTTTTCAAATACTTGTGCCCAGGTCTGGAGAGAGCATCCCCCTGGACTTGCACAAGGTGGCCTTTCTCAGTGACCTAAAGCTGTCACAAGCTCAGAAAGCCCAGCTCAAGAAGATGCTGTGCATGCCATGCAGGGATGTGCCTCCTTTCTGCTTCCTAGTGGCTCTCTAGACAAGACCTCTAGACAGGGATGAAGTGTCCCACCCCACAGGAGCTCTAGTTGCTGCACATTGTCTCAGACGAGTAAAAGTAGTTTCTCTGAGGATCCTGTAGCTCTTATCCCAGAATATCTGGGATTATAAAGCCTCTTCTGCAGAAAGGATCTGGCCACAAAGATAAGAATCCATCTTTATCACCCTGCTGATCACTCCAGGATGTCTCCACACAGAGCACATCAGCTTTTGTTGTGAGATTGCCATCTGGGGTATTTTTGACAGAAAATTTTCAATCAGTAAATATGAGTTACCCACATTGATGTGTTTTAAGGAAATGAGTCAGTTTGGACAGAAGTTTCAAAGAGAAACAAGTTAAAGGAAACATTCCGACTTTTTCATAGCTGGTACTGTTGGGACTTTCTACTTTGCTGTGGAAAAAATCCTCCACTCTGGCACTGGCTAAATCTTTTTTCCTTGACTTTTCTCTTCCAGCAAAATGTCTGCTTCGAAATTACACACTTCAGTGACATTGGATTATGTCCTCTTGTTTTCCCCCTCACAATTCATACAGAAAAAAAAAATCACATTGTTTCCCACTTTGTTGCAATTTGGAGTGGAAGCAAGTTTCAAAATGTCAAGCATCCCTTTGAACAGAATTTCCATTCCACCCAGCTCGCTCCATGCCTTACCTTCTGTCATTGCTCTAGTCCTTGCCAAAGAAGGGAAATGGAGGGAGACAGCATGTTCAGATGAGATTCCAGCTTGCCACCAGACCTTGTGGACTCTTGTTCTACCAGTGCATGGAATGGGGGGTAAAAGGCAGGCAGTTTCAAATATTATTAATTATTTTTACCTTTTCATAGGGATGGGACATACACATATCTCTTTAGATACTTTTGTTTTTACCAATGCAATTATGTGGTGTGATATGTGATGCTGGCAGAGGACACTGTTGCAATATGCTGTGCTGATATCCTCAAGGAGACCTTAACAAAGACATGCACTCTAACACACAGAGATCGGGAATTGTCATATCTTGTTATTTCACTCCTGTTCTGTAAGGCCTCAGTTTGATAAAGCACATGTGCATCTGAAAAGGGCATTTGTTAGGCGAGAGTGCTGAGGCAGAGTATGGGAAAGAGCAGAACCTGGAAATAACAGGTCTGTGTAATCCACCAAATAGAGCCATACATTTTGCCTTATATTTTGTGTTGTTTTTCCCTCAGGAGGACTGTAAGGAGTAAATTGCAGTGTCATGTCAATAGATCACCGTGCCAGCTAACTCATTCCCTCCCTCAGCAATCTTGATTTTCCTTCTGCTGGTCCAACCCGTGGCAGACACCTAAGAAATTGCTCCATGGGAGTGGAAGGGACTGGGTTACA